TACTTAAATGGTCTCTGTGGCTGGAACAAAGTACATAAATGGTCCCTATGGTAGGAAGGGCAAATGTGTCATTTCACAAGTGACTTAACTAAAAAAGTTAACACCGATAGCGAAAAAGACTGTATTTGCAAGATTTTGAAACCACAGAGAACATCTATGCACAAAACTTGTCATAAGGACCAGAGTTGGTCAATTGTGTCAATCACAAGGACCATTTATGTAATTTTATCTTAAACATTAGAAAATTTAATGAATTTTTACATCAATGTTATATTTTTCATTTAATTTAACAGATAGTTTCATTTAATTTTTACATCAATATTATATCAAAAAATGTAACCGAAAAAAATATAAAAAACATTAAACACTATATTCGCCAATAACGCCAAAAAAATCTAAATCATAGTAATATAAATAAATTAAATAAAAATAGTAATAAATAATAGATGACGTTACTTAAATGGTCCCTGTGGCTGGAACAAAGTACATAAATGGTTCCTATGGTAGGAAGGGCAAATGTGTCATTTTACAAGTGACTTAACTAAAAAGGTTAACACCGATAGTCAAAAAGACTGTATTTGCAAGATTTTGAAACCACAGAGAACATCTATGTACAAAACTTGTCATAAGGACCAGAGTTGGTCAATTGTGTCAAACAAGGACCATTTATGTGATTTTATCTTAAACATTAGAAAATTTAATGAATTTTTACATCAATATTATATTTTTCATTTAATTTTACAGATGGTTTCTAAAATGTAATGAAATTATAAAGTTTGATGGGATATCCTTTAAAAAAATAACTATGGATTCACTAAATTTCAACTTTTTTTTAACAACAAGAAGAGAAAATATATAAATGAATTACATCAAGTTAAATGACCAATTAATTCCTACAATATCCGTTCTTTTTTGGATAGTCAACTAAAAATTTCACCGCAATAAATAATTTCATTAAACATTAAGGTGGTGTCGCCGCTAATGCTGCTACAGTGTCGATCCGCGTCAAATGAACACTGTCCGTTCGATCTGCTTTTCATCCAACGGTGGGAAATGAGGAAAAAGGGCGCTGTCTTTTCCCTCCAGGGGTGTCGCCGCTAATAACGTATTGTCTCCGCTAAAATCCTAGCGTCGCCGCTAATACGCGTCGCAGATAACCCCCCGCTGCGTCACTTTCCTGTTCGTTCTGCTTCCTTTCAATCCTCCAGCGATTACCGTCGACTGCACCACATCACCTCGTCCAACGACCTCGTTTGCGCCACATGATTCGTCTCCGGCAACCATTACCGTCAGCCACCAGTGGAGCTCCATTATTACCGGCGACCACACTCATTTCCGGCGACAAAAGTTCGATTTAAGGTCTAATTTCTCCCCTATTTTCTATTCAACTTTTGTTTTGTAGTTTTCCTTACTAGTTTTAAGTGTTTAATTTAAGGTTTTTGGAACCTTTGTCGGAAAATCTAGTTCTGCCGGATCTGTTGCCGGAAAATTGGATTTCTTACCGGAAAATATCTAAATTACACTAGCACAGGTTCTTTTTCATGACTATTGAAATTATATATCTGATTTGTATGTTTTTGTGTGTTATTTGTATGGTTATTATTTGGAATTTGGAATTCTTACCGGAATTGTCGTCAGAATCGTTTTTGTGTGTTATTTGTATGTGTATTATTTGTTTGTGTATGTGTATGAGTTTTGAAATTACATATGTGATTTGTATGTATGGAAAAAATGAAAAAAATTAGGTTGCTATAATAGAAAAATAAGTATGATGCTATAACTTGGATAATATTTTAAGTTTAGTTGTGATTGTTATTTAATTAACTAACTTTTTGTATTTGTAGAATAAGTTTGATTTGGATAAGGTTAACTTGGATCCGGAGCGTGCACAATTGTTGCGGAGCATTGATTCGAGTCTTGCAAAAGTGTACAGAGGCCGAAAAAGTAAAGCCCATTCTTATTTTAAGGAAATCGGGGGGTCTGCAAATATCCCAATGGCACTAAACAACCCCCCCCCCCCCAACGGTATGTCACCAGAAAATTGGGCGAAGGCAGTCGAACATTTTCAATCGCCCGAATTTTTAAGGCGTTCGACATCAAACAAAGAAGTCCATGCAAAACAACTAGTTGTAAACAGAGGGGGTCGAGCTCGTACAGTAATGCATGCTTCAAAGAAGTAAGTTATGATATATTTAAATGTTTATTTAAAGTATAATTAATCTATTTTTTTATGTTAAATAGGATATCACTCGAATGGAAGCATTCCGTAAGGTTAATTCCAATCGCCAAGGGGTGTTTTATAGTCCTGCAGTCGAGCAACATTACGTAAGTGGTTAATTTGTATTTTCATATAAGTGTTTATATCGTTAAGGGTATTTAGTAATCTAATTTTTATGATGTTTATCATTTTTTGAAAATACAGAATGCTTTACTTCAGGAGATCAATCAACAAACCCAAGCTTCTTCTTCAGCAAGCAGTCTAACGCCAAGTGATACAAGAAAATGTTTTGAAAAAATATTGGGTGTTCGACGCGGACATATTAGAGGCATTGGGGGTAAACCTCCTACCGTTGTGTCTATGTACGATCAGGAACAACCAATGACACAAGAACCACCACAATCACAGGTAATTGGTAATTTTTGAAAAGTAGAATGCTATAATGATATGTTGGTTATGGTTTGATATGTTGGTATTTTGTAGTTTGGTAATTGTTGGAAAGTAGAATGCTATAATGATATGTTGGTTATGGTTTGATATGTTGATATTTTGTAGTTTGGTAATTTTTGGAAAGTAGAATGCTATAATGATATATTGGTTATGGTTTGATATGTTGATATTTTGTAGTTTGGTAATTTTTGGAAAGTAGAATGCTATAATGATATGTTGGTTATAGTTTGATATGTTGATATTTTGTAGTTTGGTAATTTTTGGAAATTATAATACTATTATGATATGTTGGTAATATATTTTGTTTTCTTTGTAGTTGGAATGCTGCAAACGATACTGAAAGACCCGACATGTTCTCCGGCATTGGAAGAGTGGTTTCGTTAATTGCTACCACCAAATAGTGAAAGAAATGATGAGAGTGATGGCGAGGAGTAGGAATTTTACGATTTTATGAAATGTTTGTTTAGAAGAATACTTTAGGTTGTATGGACTAATATTTTGGATTGTGGATTAGTATTTTATAAATGTTATATTGTTTTTGGTTGTATATGGGTTAAATATAACAGATTTTATAAAATTGTGGATTAATATTTCATAAAATTGTAACAGATTTCATAAAATTGTAACAAAAAAAAATGAAAAGAGTTTTTGCGGCGACGCTTTTAGCGGCGACATGAAAGTATTAGCGGCGACGTGTTTTTAGCAGCGTCAGTGGAGTATTAGCGGCGACAGGTCAATAGCGGCAACAGTAAAGTATTAGCGGTGACAAAAAGGGCATTAGCGACTAAGCATTCACTACAAGGATACGGACCTATGCAGATGACACTTATGCCGACGACAATTGTTGTCGCTAAAAGTACCCCTATCCCGACGACATGTCGTCGCCATACCTGTTTGCGAACTTTGACCAATTGGCGACGTATTTGCAGCGACATGTCGCCGCTAATACCTTTAGCGGCGACGTATTTGCAGCGACATGTCGCCGCTAATACCTATCTTTTGCGGCGATAGACGTCGCCGCTAATGCCCGTATTTCTTGTAGTGGGTCTAATTATCCGATTTAGATAACTAATGTTTTACATCAAAGTTGTTAAAATCACGAATTTGATCATACGATCGTTCGATCCCACCTAAATAAATCGATTGTGATCATACGTGATTCATTTTAGAGTAAGATCGTTGAATCGATCATAACATTGTAAGATCGTTACTATTTAGTTTTGTTTTTTTAATTTCTAATATTTTGTTTTGAACTAACTAAGTACAATGAATATGAACTCTAAAAATCTCTTTTGAATTGTGTATTGTTAAATAATATATTTAAAGTATATTTGTTCATGTTTTATATTGTTAACTAAATGGTTAGCTAATTAATTGGGGAAATGTATTTTTTTTTTTGTTTTAAAATATTTTTGATGGGATCTTTGGATCCCGATTTGATTTTGCAAAACAGAAAACGATAATATATCTTGACAATTAACCATCCATTTCAGATAACCTATGTTTTTCAGAATACAAAGAATTTATATCTCGTTTAAAAAATATGTTAATTTCATTTGCATTCGGTTATATTTAGTAACTTAATAAAAAAAAATGTATTTGTAAGAAGTTGGACGTTCATGTACAAATTTGTGCGTATCAGTTATTTGTAAGAAGTTGGACGTTCATGTACTATGAGTATCAATTTTACAAGTAGCTATAGTCTACATATAGACACGTTAGATTTGAACTTCATAAACTATTTATATGTTTGTTCAGCTGCGTATATGAGTAGTTACACAAAACACCATTAATGGACACATGAAAAAGTTTAAAAATATATTACGAACAAAAAGGGTGATAATTCGGTAAAGCAGTTACATAAAGGGGAAATATTAATAAAATAGATAAAACACAACAGAAGCGAAAGTTCCTTGATTGATAGATCGAGGAAAGGACAATCAGAAAGTAAAATCCAGTATAATATTGAGTTGGTGAATTTTCAAATGATATTAGGATTTGTATTTGACTTTAAATGAAGTCAAGAACAATAAGGATATATAATTAGAAAAGTCAAAACATCGTAAAAGTCCAAATCAACATGCACGCAAGTTAGGTATTAACACGATAAGCTAAACGAGTTGGTAAAACTAGAAAAGCAAATAATTTTCAAGGTTGATTTAGTCGAAGACCGGCCACCAGCAGACACTTTCTTAACGAGTACTATAAATATACATGAAAGTATCCATGCAAAGAGCATATACCCAATACAAAACTAGCAACGTAATCAACTCCAATATTCATAGTACTCCCACAAACTTTTCCAAATACGTTTCGTTATACAAACACATCCATGAACATGCATGTTCCTTTCCTAGGGTTCTTAGTGATTCTTGGTTTCATCCAATCACAAGCAGCTTTGGTTCGATATACCTTTGTGGTAAACTTTGGTTCCCTAGCTATGATCAGTCATTATATAGGGCATTTTGGTTTTCTTTCTTGTGGAGTGAATTACTGCAAATAACTTATTATCATACTTTTTTTGTTTTGCAGGTTCAAGAAACTAACTACACACGGCTATGCAGCACTAAAAAGATCTTAACAGTTAATGGACAATACCCTGGTCCGACCATTTCTGCTCGTAGAGGAGACACCGTTATCGTTGATGTTGTCAACCAAGCCTCCCAAAATATCACGATTCATTGGTACATGCATGTTTAATTATGTTACTAATTGCAAGTTGGTTTTCATAGTATATATATGAATGATTTTTTGAATAATTAACATTATGAGTTGTATGTATAATTGTATACAGGCATGGAGTGAAACTACCAAGATATCCATGGTCAGATGGGCCCGAGTTCATCACACAATGCCCAATTCAACCAGGTTCTCGTTTTAGCCAGAAGATTATCCTTTCCGATGAGGAAGGCACATTATGGTGGCACGCACACAGTGACTGGTCTCGAGCCACCGTACATGGTTTACTAGTCGTCTTTCCCAAGATTGGAACTACTTTCCCGTTTCCTAAACCTCATGCAGAGGTTCCTGTCATCTTAGGTCTTTAATCTTTATCCCCAACTCCTTATATATGTATATAAATTAAATAATATGTCCTTCAATTTCTACGCTCGAATATTTCGTACGTAAAGCATATTGAATCAATATTTGAACATGCATGCAGGCGAGTGGTGGAAAAATGATATACAGACAGTGATGGAAGACTTCTTGCGTAGCGGGGGTGATCCAGCTATCTCTGATGCTCTAACAATCAATGGTCAACCTGGAGATCAATACAATTGCTCTGGTCCAGGTTCTTCTTTCCATTCTCATCTTTCATTGTGCAAAGTAATTGTGATTAGCAAGATGTACTTTCGGATAGAATAATAATACTTACGGATTCGTAATATATACTTGAATGTTTCCAGAAACAACCAAAGTAAAAGTCGAACAAGGAAAGACTTACATGCTTCGAATGGTGAATGCCGCCATGAACAACATCATGTTCGTTGCAATTGCAAACCATCAAGTCACTGTCGTAGGAACTGATGGGGCCTACACCAAGCCGATGAAAACCAATTACGTGGCTATATCACCGGGACAAACCATAGACCTCTTGTTAGAAGCAAATCAACCCCGCAATCGCTATTATCTGGAAGCGAAGTTCTACAACAGCAACCCTCGAAGTCTCTTTGATAATACCACCACCACAGCCATCATCGAGTACATTAATGGGAACTACAACGCATCAGCCACACCTTTTTCACCTCTTCTTCCTACTTTTAATGACCGAAATGCATCTGCGAACTTTACTAGTAGCCTACGAAGTTTAGCAAGCAGTGCTCATCCAATTGACGTTCCACTTGAAATCACGAGAAAGCTACTCTATACCCTGTCGATTAACAGATTGCCTTGTGCTACGTGTGTGGGAAGGGATAATAGGTTTGCAGCAAGCATAAACAACATTACATTTGATACCCCAAGGACTTCGATTCTTGGAGCTTACTACCGTGGAATGAATGGTGTTTATGGCGACGACTTCCCTGATAATCCCCCTTTCATCTTCAACTACACATCGGATAGTTTGAATACTTCACTACAAACTCCAATGGATGGGACGGAGGTGAAAATTCTGAAATATAATGATACGGTGGAGCTTGTTTTCCAAGGAACAAATGTGGTTTCGGGGATAGATCATCCCATGCATTTGCATGGATATAGTTTCTATGTTGTTGGATCTGGATTTGGTAACTTCGATAGACAACGAGATCCTCTCAATTATAACCTTGTTGATCCTCCTCTTCAGCAGACAATTGCTGTTCCTCAAAATGGCTGGACAGCCATTAGATTCCGCGCAAATAACCCTGGTAATTAGTCAATTTCCTTGTAGTTTTAAATTGTTAGAAAAAAGACAATTTCAAATTTCATTTCATTATATAGTATTCTAATTAATCATGTTAAGTAATATATTCATTTGATTATATACCTAAATCTTCAGGAGTTTGGTTCATGCATTGTCATTTCGAGCGTCATGTAAGTTGGGGGATGGAGATGGTATTCATAGTAAGGAATGGGAAGAGTGCAGACACAAGAATCTTGCCTCCACCACCGGATATGCCCAAGTGCTAGAAGACTTATTTATTTGTTGTCAAGATTATTATTTATCCCCAGTTTCTTTATCCTCTTTATTTATTTATTCTAAATAATCGGTGATATTCTTTAATTGTACGTTGTATATATATAATAAGTTGATTGATGAAGTAATTATGTATGTATTAGGTTATAACCCGTGTACGACACGGTAACAACCTAAAACATGTTCGAAAGTTAACAAACATTATAATTAATAATACATTTGCAAATTTTGAATGCACTTCATAGTTACACGTTACACCAACATTTAAAACCTTATATAAATTAAAATTTCTACTCTTTATCAAACATATATTATTCTTTATTATTACATATAACATTTTAATTATAAGACCCCATGTAAAGAGACCCTTTTGACTCCCTAAAAAACCCACTTTTGAAATCTCGTCCAAAAAGTAAATCTTCATTCCTCAAAACCCATCATAGATAGTCAATTTTGTCATTTGCATTTATCTAGTGAGTTAGAAGATGAATAGAAAAAATTATCTATTTCAAATAAAAAAATATAAAAAAACGCAATAATATATTAATCAACAAAGTATCCCTCAAAACCCATCATAGATAGTCAATTTTGTCATTTGCGTTTAATTCCCTGGGTTGTTTTAGTTAGATAGATACAAGGATTTTTTTTTTATTAAAGATATGTTTATAAAAGATATTTGGGTGTGGAATTGGTCACTTGAGCTAAACGGGTGGTTCTCAACAATCACAATTTATTAAGTTGATTTGCTTGGTTTCCTAATTTCGGCCTTCAAATCAGTTGGATGAGTGACAATGGTTGCTGAAGAAATCTTTTTACGATAAGTAGTTCTAGTGGACACATAGACAATGATATGTTGTCTAGTTTCAGGGATACTCGGTGGAATAAGTTCATCCCAAAATAGTGAACATTTTCTGTTGGAGGTTACGGTTGGATAGGTTACCCAATTGTCCAAATTTGGTGTATCAAGGGATTGATGTTCCTTTGACACTTTGTCTTTGGAGTCGAAATTAGTGTCACTTAACTTTATTTCTTGTGCGTTGGCAAAGTATATATGGTGTTTTAAGGCCACTTGGTGTGGTTTATTCATTCTAGTTTTTACCTTGGTGGAAGAGGTCATTGATTGGATTGACTCAATTAATTTATTATTTAGTAAACGGACGACTTTGGATGTGATCGTTTTGAATATGTGCTGGATTATTTGGAAGTTTCTGAACAATTGTCTTTTTGGCACAAAAAAGAGTAGGAGGGGATTCTTTACGTGTAACATCCCGTTTATAATATAGTGATTAAATAATAAATTCGGAACCCCGGGAAGTGGTTATTATTATTATTTTATATTATTATAGCCCAAAACCAAATAATAATTAGCTGGGAGTTGGTTTCAGGAAGCCAAATGACAAGAATTGAATCTCCAAGGGCTAAAGGGTAAGTTCTGGATTTAAATTGAAAACGATTATGAAGTGAGGGGCTGAATGGTAAATATGGGAGTTGTTTTGAAAAAGATTTGATGGGGAGGGGTCAGAATTGGATAAAAGAGCAAAAGTTGGAAAGGAAGCGGGACTTGAACCCGGTGACATTTTCTTCCCATATAAAACACATCCATGCTAAAAACCCTAAACCTAGATGATGTATCAGCCGTCGTATGTTCATTAGCCACCACCACCCTTCGTTTCTTACTATCGCCGACGAAGTTGCTGCCATGTTGATGAAGACGGAGCTGCCGACGGGGACTCGAGCAGGTGCCCTCCGCCGCTGCTATCGCTCTCAAGTTGCCGCTGCCTTGCCTTGAAGCGCCACCCCTAGCCGTCGGACGATGCGAGGAATCGGATGAACCGCTTGGAGCTCTTTCTGTTGGCGTTGAGGGCTACCGGGAACTGAAGTGAGGCTGTCGCAGCCGTCATTGCTAGGTTGAGTGTTTTCCAGTCGTCGCCACCACCTCGTTTCACTGTTGCATCACCACCGCCGCTGTACTCGACTGCTGAAGACGAAGTCGCCACCGGTACCGGGCTTGGTTGCGTCGTCGCCGCCGCCGCTGCTGTGCTGCCAATCGTTGTCACCTCCCACCTTCTCCTCTCCTCTCCATTCTGTTTGCTGGTATGTCGCCACCACCGCTCGAGCGGTGGTCTCCGCCACTTGTTCCTTCGTTGATTGGATTGGCGTGGCCGTCGCCGCGACACAGCTGTTCCATTGTGACCGGTTTTCTCCGCTGCTGTTAGTGCGGGTGTCTCAGATTGCTGCTGCCGGAAAACCAAGGAAAAACCACCATGGCTACCGCCATATACCATCACCGGCCACCACTAGGTGGTTGCGTGTATGTGTGTTTATTAGTGAGTGTGTGTGTGTTTATTAGAGTGTGTGTGTGTGTGTGTTAATTGGGTGGTGTTGTAAATTGTAACAAAATGGAATAATGAAAAAAAAATCTGTCACCACCACCGTGAGGTGGTGGCTGCCGCCACGGGCCGCCGTGTCGGGTGGCGGTGTGCCTTGTTTGGCTTGTGACTCGTTTGGATGTTTGGACAAGAGACTACTAAACCCTAATGGTCCAAAAGAAACCCTAGTGGGCCCAATGAGACCTTAATGGGCCCAATGAAGCCCTAAAGGACCTAAAAGCCCAACCATTTGATAAATGGGCTAATATTTGGGTAGGAAACCCAAATTTGGGTTTGGAAAACCCTAATGCCATGAAACCCTAATTTTGGGACTAATCGGGACCCGCATCGGGATTATTTATTAAACTTAAATTATTAATTAATAATCATTGGCAAACTAACTTAAGGCAATAATGGACTTAATGGATTAAGTCCTTAATGGATTAAGTCCTTAATGGGTTAAGTAAGAAACACTTAACCCTAATCATCATTTCCTGTGAAAGCCCTAATCTCACTCGGGCCTTGAATTGGGCCTTCCTATTGGGCTTTGGTGATTGGACTTCTAATGGGCTTCCAAGAATAAGCAGATGGACTAAATAATTATATGGGTTTTAGGATAAGGCCCATGTGAGAGTCTTGGGCCCAATTTGGAAAATTGGGCCATTGATGGGCCATAATTAGGCCTTTATGATTATGTGATATTGGGCCATGGGAATACCAAGAGTTTGGACTAGACTAATTGAATGGGCCTTAAGGAAAGACCATGTAGAGGTCTGGGCCCAATTTGGAAAATTGGGCCATATATTGGGCTTTGGCCCATTACTTGACTTTTGGGCCTTTGGAGTGTGAGTTGGACTTTAGGCTTGGAACCTAATTATTAATTGGGTATTATTTGATGTTGACAGTTCGGGAATCTGTCAACCAGCAACTAGAGTTTTATCTGTGGGACTTCAGCAGTGTCAGGTGAGTTTTCCTCACTATATCAATAGGGTCAACGGCACCAAGGCCGACCCTTTATGATTTACATCCTGGGTTAGGATGGTTGTTATGTTATTGCTATGCTAGATCTCATCTTGGTTTAGGATGGTTGCTATGTTAGATTACATCATGGCTTAGGATGGTTGCTATGTTATTGCTATGCTAGATTTCATCCTGGTTTAGGATGGTTGTTATGTTAGATTTAATCCTGGTTTAGGATGGTTGCTATGCTAGAGATCGGTTAAACCGGTATCCTGGTTATAGGATGGTTGCCATGTTAGTGATCTGTTAGATCTGCATGTTTACTTGTTTATATGTATGTGCACATGTTTGTTGGTTTGGGGAAAGGGTTGAGGCAGGTCCTGCTGTGTGCAGTAGGCCAAGACACCCTGGGCGGACCGGGTAGACTGCAGGCCCGGGCTGGGCAAATCTAGTAAGGCCGAAGGCCCAGCGAACGGTCCGGATAGGCTGAATGCCCCTAGGAGGGCGGTCCAGACGTGCCGTAGGCTCGGAGAGCGGTCCAGATAGACTGAGGACCAGGATTCGGTCCAGTCAGACTGATGGCTCATTATGCATGTTGTTGCTGTTTGCTTATATGTTTATATGATATGGTTATATCTGTATGGCGTTGGTATTTTGGGGGTAACTCACTAATGTTGGATTAATGTCTATGTCCATAACTATAATTGGTAAGACTTGACCCGACCAGGCATGGTCCATTTGGGTTGCATGGCATCGGGACAATTGGATAGACAAGATGAGGAAAAAGGATACTAGTGATTTATATTAATATATTATAAGTTCTAATATATTAATATATAATCATATTATTTAATTAGTATTGATCAAGAATTAATTTATAATTAATTAAGTGATCAAAAGGAACTAATTAAATATGGACTCTAAGATATATGTGTGTGATGGGCCAAGTTCATTTAGGTTGGGCTAAGCTTTCATGGATAGTCCATGGAGTGTTTAACCCATGGATCATATGAAATGAAAGGTCATGGGTATTAGGGTTTAACCCTAATCTCCACACTATATAAAGATGTCCTTGGTTAGTGAAATGGGCACTAGTGTGTGTACACAAAAGGGCAAGGCCGATTTCACTAGAGAGAACCAAAGTATCCTTATTCTCAAGGTTATTCCAAGTGTTCATGGTGTTGTGTGAACCATTTGAGGTGTCACACTTGGGGCACTAGACACTCAAGCTTCATGAAGACAAGTTACATAAAAAAAAGGTATGTATTCTATCTATTTTATTACCCAAGTATATGATATTTGTATGCTAGTATAGGGTAATATCTTGGAAACTTCATATTTGCATGTATAATAGAGAAAACATAGATCCAAGGTATTTAGGGTTGTATGTGCACCATAGGATGTTGTAGTATACTAAAACCCAACAGTGGTATCAGAGCCATGGGTTGTTTTCTGTTATATTCATGCAAATGTTTGATTTTCAAAGTTGAAAAAAAAAAGAAAAAAAAAACATGAAGTTTGTCAAATTTTAAGATAATTACTTGTTTTGTGAAAAACTAATTATTTGTAAAATTTGAATCATTTGTTATTTTCATCAAAAAAAAATTTTTTAACTTATAATGGTGTGGAAGTAATAACTTGTTTTAAAAAGCTTAGCCAAACAC